AAGTACCCCCTTCTGCATTAGCCTGGCTTTCATTAATCTTCTTGCCATCTTCTTTAACTAGTCATGCAGAACCGTTCGATAGCAAGGCGTATAATGGGGAAGGCCCTGTGCCTATTACCGCGTTAACATTCTCTTAAGCCCAGTGCAACAATAGAAAGGGAGGCAGAGGAGAGCTGGACGAGGGTGAGGTTCGAGCAATTCAATCACAGCCTGACTTACCTATGTACTCTGACCCACAAGACACAAGGGGCCTTTGTGTCTAACTGGCTTGGCCATTAAGGCCGCTCAAGATCACAACAAAGCTAATCTTTTCCATTTAAGCTAAATCAATGTGGACAAATCATTATTCAGTAGCTTTAATTTAATTAGTAAATTAAATACACTACTTTACAGATCTTGTCAAGTACTTATGAAAAGAAAGATTCATGTAAATGAGAGGTCACCAATAAGCCCAGCTGGCTCAGCTCCTGATCTTAGCTGAATCCTCTCTCTAGTACCCAGTGGTTCTACTTACTAGAGTTATTGCCAAAGCTCCTAACCCCAGAGAGTTCTTATTTTGGGTCCAAACAGTTTTGGACAAAAAAGCAAAGCAAAGCAGAACACCTTCCACCAATATAACCACAGCACTGGCAGAATCAGATTTTCTTTAAATTATACTATTGCAAGAAACATAATCAGGTTACCTCTATTCTGCTGCTTCCTTAAGACTGAGTATTATCTCTACTTAACTGAAACACAGAGCGTTTTTCAGCTATAAAGATGACAGCTACTTTATTAAGGTTTAAATCTGATTTCCTAATGATGAGCAGCTTCCTAAAGACCCTGAACCTGAACAAGATCCTGGAGTGATGGAGTTTGGAAGCCTGACACACAGCCCACGAGTATCCTGTGTCACAGAAGGTCTCTGGCTTTGTTCAGTACCAGGACGGAAGGGAGGTCTTTTTAAGAAGCTGACCATCCATAGCTCATGTCTAACCTGGATCTAGTAAGAGACAATAAAATTCTTTTCCTTTTCTTTCTTTCTTTTCTTTTTTTATTTTTTTTTTAAGACATTTGTTGGAACCCTTCAAAATAGCACCAGAAACCCTAAGGAGAGGCAAGCCAGACTGATAACACAGTGATTATTTAAATAATAAAGGCAGGGCTTTTTCCTTCCCTAAATCAAGAGAAAACTCATTCTTAATTTCTCAGGGCTCTCACACGGATTTTCTGAATTCTTCCGAGTCTGTATTTATCCATGCAGGTTTTTTTAGGCTTGTATCTATTTAGTCATTAAGTTCCAGGTCCTTAAACACTCACAGGGACAGAATGATAAATCTCTCTGAACGCTGGCCTAAGAGGGAGAAGCAGGGTGCAGGAGCACACAGAGCTGCTGCTGGGAGCCTGGCTGCACTGTTTCCAGTCTGTAATTCTGCCTTTCCCCATGCAAACGCTCAGCCCCTTTGCCAAGTCAGCTCTTCACACATTTTCGGATGTGGCATCAATTAAACCTGAGCTGTGCTGCTCGTGACGGCCAGACGAACGGTGTGACAGCGGCTTTCTCCACAGACCCTGCAAGATGGTCCTAGTCGAAGGGTTTAAAACATTTCTTTTCTGTTCAAAATTCTGACAAACATGTCTCAAGTAACAACGGGGACAGCTTCATTATCCTCCCCACACTTAACGCCTTTTTGTGAAGCAGGCTGCTTAATAACACGTCTGCTCTGTTTTCACAACTAAATTATTCCAGTTGGTCACACGTTCCAGTCTCTGGGAAGACACTTGTGTTATAAGAGATAAAAACATGAAAAAGAGAATATATTGCAGAAATCAAAAACCTTATCTACTTCTAGACTGTTTCTCTTTGCCATAATTCATTCAAGAGGCCCTAAGAATAATTTTTGATGTAAACTCAGCAACAAACATACATCACTATGCTGATAAAAATCACAGGCTAAACTTATGAAATATAGTGACTTTCATTTCTTTAGTGCTGCTAAAATAACTTTTTTCTAAGGTTCAACAGACATAAAAGATAAAAAGGGTTACCATTAATCCTTTAGGCAAAAAAAAAAAAAAAAAAAAAAGCAAGAAAGAGAAAGCAGCAGCCCCATAGATTAACGCTGCCGTCTGCTGAGGCTATGAGGAGGAGCTTTTTAGATTCAGCCACTGAATTAATTTAGTGAAGATACTGGAAATCATAAAAACACACAATGTTGATCTGATTCATTTACTAACATTCTTGTGTGGGAACAATTTTTGATTCCTCAATCCTGGTTCATTCAGTTCAGTTTCAAGCTGACCAATATTCACTGTAGACAGCTACAGGGATTGCTGGGCCAATGAGTTCCATGGGGACTTAGGAAAGGAAGTGGGGTGGGGGCTGGGGGGGCGACTCTAAAGAGATAATGCAGCACACTGCATTTGTCCAGACGTCTAAACAAATTTCTTGGGCATTGGGCCTAGCACTTGGGAGGCAGAGGCAGGTAGATCTCAGTGAGTTTGAGGCCAGCCCGGTCTGCAAAGCCAGGACTGTTACACAGAGAAACCTTGTCTCACCCCCCCCCAAACAAAAACAACAACAACAACACAAACAAACAAACCAAAAAACCAACCCCCCCCACCCCAAACAAAACAAAACAAAACAAAACAAAACAAAACAAAATCCTGGGGCAATGAATGAAAATGAGTGGAATAAATGGGGGACGGTGGCAATGACCCTAGGTTAGCAGTAGGGTCAGGGTGGAAGGTTCCAGATAGTCACAAGAGCAGAAGAACACAAGTTATTGTGTTACTGTATCTTACAGCCTGAGTTCTACACGGGAAATTCTGGTCTGAGTGGTCAGTGGCTTTCAACATCAGTAAAGGATGTGCTGAGGAGTCATAGCTTTATTTTGCAAGTCTATAAATTTAAAATCTTTTGCTTTAAAAAAAGATTATATTTGTGTGTGTCTGTGTACATGTGTGTGTGGATGCCAGAAGAAGGTGTCAAATGTCCTCCAATATTACTCGTTGCCTATTACTTTAAGGTGAGGTCTCTCTGAGCATGGGGCTCATTTTTTTCTAAGCTGGGCTGGAAGCCACCAAGTCCCAGCAATCCTCTTTGGCTCCTTCCCCAACTGAAGCAAGGGTTACAGGCATGCATGGAATCAAATGTCTTCTCTTCACTTGTGAAAGTCCTAAGTTTGGAGTTCTCAAACACTACCCCACTGCCCACAGGTCCCCACTGCCCACAGGTCCCCACTGCCCACAGGTCCCTGTGTCACCTTTGAGTGCAGAGACCAAGGCTTGAAAAGCATTGCTACAGAGGACTGAGCATTGAGACAGGGATACTTCCGACTCCCAAAAGCTATTTAGCTGGTTTGCACACTGGGACATGTGTGAGAGAGGAAGGACCCCAGAAAAACTGTCCCCAGTGAAAAGACGGCCCTGCCTGCTCTGACCTTTTTTTTTTTTTTTTTTTTTTTTTTTTGGTTTTGACCTTAAGTGAAGATGAGGCCCATGAACACTATCTCCTGCCTGAGACCTTCCCTCCTCTCCTACTGGCTGGGCATGTGACATTCACACCTTTCCAGAGCCTGGGTTACAGCTCTTCTAGGCACAGCAAGTGTCTGTGAACGAGAGGGAGCCCAAGTCTGGTTCTCGTTCCTCCCACAACTCTCCACTCCAGGTTAGGTCTCTAGGCAACATGCAGGCAACCATTTGCCGTTTCTGAGACAAGTTATAAAATGTCTCTCTTCAAAGTACCCTCACTGCTGAGGAAGGAAGATTCCAGGACAAAGACATTTATTTTGGGGTCACCAAGATGGGGTAGATGGAATTAGGGCTTACTCATGGCAGAGGGGTCTAGCAGCCTTTTAGGCTCCAGAAGAAGCAAGCACTTTTCTCATGGGCCTCTTTTGGCAAGTGCCCTGCAGTCAGAGCCTCACTGGGGTGACAGTAGATGGCAGGGGCAAAAGAGGACAATAATCTCTCTCTCTCTCTCTACCTATTATGCTTTTCTTTCCTGCCAAACTGGAGGCTGAGCTGAAAGCCTTTTCATAGCTGAATTTGACAATGAAATTAAACACTGGCCATGGGGAAGGGGCATGAAGCTTTGCTCAACATGGGAAGAGGTGCCCTTTCAGTCATGATGACTCTGGAAAGGAGCCTCATTATAAACAGTTCCTGGCCTTGGCCTTTCCTAGTTTTTCTTCTGAGCATATAATTCCTCATAACACTTGTCCTCAAATTCAGACACGGGAACATAGGTCCCCAAATTAGATGCTCAGTAAGGACCTCTAGTTACCAAGCCAGAGCTACTGAGGTGAGCTCCAGCTGACAGGAAATGCTGAGATGCAGCAGTCTGAGAATCCTGTTTGCCAGTCTTCCCTAGGCACGTAAAAAGTTTTGGCTGCTTGCTTTCACTCTGAACTGTGTCCTTTTTGTTCCATGCTAGGGCTGGATTCCTAAAAAATGTTTAAGTGATTAATCTAAATACCACAATCAATTACTTAACTTCAAAACTATAACATGCCCAAATGGTATCTGCTTGGATGGTTTAGTGGAAGAACGCAAGCCCAGTAGTAACTTCTTCGGTAGGACCAGGCAGACGTTTAGTTATGAGCTAGAGGTCACTGACATTCCAGCATGATGGATGCCTAAATCTAGCCTCTGGATATCCAACTTCCACTGGTATGGCACAGAAGGCTGACTGGTCAAGTTCCCCCAATGGAAAGGGACAGGAACACAAAGTAAATCGAGGACTCTCCTGAGTGCAAATTCCCAGTAGGAACCTGCCTGGTGACCTAGCCCCCCAGAGCACGGTGCCTCAAGGGTCTCTGTTGACAGCAAGATGGAGCAAGATGGGGCTCACATCAGGCTCTAGGTACCATAATACAATCCTGTTTGATTAAAAGAAATTTCTGGTAATGAATTAAACGAGCTCAAGGAAAAAAGGACATGGTGGCCATATATTCTCACAGCACAGGCGCCCAGGGAGGAGGGGTGAGAAAAGGAGACATAAATAAAGGACTACTCACTGGGGCTCTTTTCCTCCGCAAGGTCACAGGCACAGAGCAGGTCAGAATCGATTGAGATGGGCTTCTGTTTAATCCAAAACTTAGTGCTGGCTTTCTGATTCGTAACAGGGTCTATCTCTACTTTGTCTCCAGAGATACCTGTAAGGTCAAGGAATGGGGACAAAAAAAAAGCCATGAAGTGAGGAAGGTGGCAGCGACTTCAGCGTAACAATTATGAGCTCTTAGGGCTAGAGAGATTGATTCTCCCTACAGGCAGGGCTTCTAAACAGGATCTGAGACGCTTCCAGTGTGGCTGCTGGGGTAAGCGAGAAGGATGCGGAAAGCTGCTTGGGGACATGCTTTTTCTCTAAAACAAGAGAGACACATATCGCTAACACCACTACAGTTATACTGTGACAACATAAACTACAACAGAGGGCCATGTAAAGATAAGACAGTTCTAATCTATTATTACCCTAAGTAATAGATTATGTTACTGATATAGAGTTTCTGATCTAGAAAAATTTTACATTAAAAATAGAAGGGAGGGGGCAGAACTTTCCTCTGTGACACAAATAATTTCTCCAGTAACATTTAAGGGAAGCCACAGGGGGAGCAAAAGGTCTTTACACAAAACCTCTGAATTCAAATCTCAAAGCCTGCCTTTCAGGTGGGGGTGGTCCTCTCCTCTCTGTTGAGGGAGAGGCTGCAGCATTTTCTCTGCTAGACAATGACCAGGAACAAATGAGGTGCAGGGGTCCATTGGAGGTGCCCTCTGGGTATTTCTGAGATGACATGGTCTGTCTAACACACCGAATCTAGTCTAGAAGTCTTCTTTTGCTGAAAGGAGAAATCTGTTCATGGAGTGAGATGTAAACCTTTCGTGTGTGTTCTGGAGTGAGCCCCACAGGGAGTCTTAAAAGTAATTAATTTTTAGGTGGTCATAATTTAAGGCCAGGGTCAAAGTGGGGAAAAAAAAAGTCAAGATTAACAACAACAACAACAACAAAAAAACCCTGAAAAATCAGTTGTACATATATAAAAAGACAAGCAGGGCTTTTGAGAAAGATTATCTCAAAAGAGGATAAAACCCCACCCAAACCCAGCTAAGTTAATACCCCCACCCCCAATGAAAACACAGACACACACGACACCATAGCCTGGCAGCAAATTTAAATGTAAAAAAGAAATGAAAATAAATACAATCTCCATTTTTGGATTTTGCTCCCCCACCCCAAGTCCATTGTAATGTTTTGTTGAGTAGATTTATTCCAAAACCAGTTAGACAAAGGAAGAAGGTGGGTTCCGAGGAGATGTGCGGGGATGGCTGTTAGCCCTGTCATCTTTGGTAGAGCCCAGCAATTATTTTTATTTATTTATTTTATTTTATTAACCCAATGCTGGGTTTGCACTGGACATATTTCAATTAGGCATAAGTGTCCTAAGTCCAACTGACTCTGGATCTCAGGTATGGAGGATTTCAGAAGCTGAGAAGCTATCAGGAGCCCAATTTGATTACATTTCACTTGAAATAGATTATGACTATTCCATGACACTCCAGCCTCCAGTTTGGTCATCAATTGCTAAGGATCTGGACATCTCTATAGTTATCCGAAAGGAGACAAGTACTTAAGCCACGGCAGTGGTAAGGAGGTGAGTGTTCACTGTGCACACTGTGACAATGGGGTGTGTGATCATGTGAGTGTACGCTGTGAAAACGGGGTGAGTGTTCAGAGAGAGCACACTGTGGCAATGGGGTGTGCGTTCATGTGAGCAGGGTTTTCCCTCCTTATCTGCTTCTTATTTTGACATTTATAACAGTCAAAACGAACAAAGCAAAATAAATGTGCATATCTCTATGTGGAAATAAACCCTGCCCCACATTCCTCTTTTAGAAAGGAAAAAAATCACCACCAGACAAAGATGGTTAAAATTTTGTTCTAAGGCCACGCAACTCCTGAAGCCGCAGTCAGTCAATACTGTTAATGTACCTTGTTAATTTGATAGGATTTGTCAGGTAACTCCACTGGAAAATTATATAAAACTGTTCCAGATGAAAAGATGATAGTGACATGAATTAAAGTGATAGAACAATAGTGGAATATAAACCAGAAATGACACCCAAAGTGGCTGTTGATTTATTGCCATACTGAGTTTGGTTCTGGGCTCCCATGTATATTAGTGCTACAAATCTGGGTCCATTTAGCAGAGGGATGCTCATACATACATCACCAGCTCCTGCTCCAAGCCAAGGTCACTCCCCATTGCATCAATCTTTTCAACAGAGCCTACTTCACAAAGCGGGACTCCTGTAACCATCTCAGATGTAACAGACTGCTCATCCTCTTTCATCTTTCTTTTATCATGTAAAGTACACTTTTAACTTCCATTATTTTTATCTGCAAATTGTTAGCGCATAGTTCATCCATTACCTGCTGTATCTGCGCATCAGTTGCCTACACTCCACTTGGCCACAGAACCCTTTCCCAATGACACCCTTTCCTGAGGTTACTGCCACTGGTGCAGTTTGTGGAAGGGAACCCCAAGACTGCAGCTTGGGGATGGAGATATGGGAGGTGAATGCAAAAGGCTCAAGATGGGCAGACAGGTGGAGCATCATTTAAACAATTGGTGTGCTCCACAAGAGCAGCATGCACATGAGAGTTTCCTGAATTGAATCACATTTTCCCACTGACTTGGTTCCAGTGATACTCTGTCTTCATTCTGGATTGATCTGTAATTGGCAGGGGCTCCCAACACTTCGGTTTTAAGTTTCCGTGCCCTGCAGGCTTTCAGTCAGGTAGTTAATGATCTGTAAAACTCTTGCCTGCCTCGAGGAGTCACTATTTAAAGGAACCTGTAGGAGAATCTTTCCTGAAGGGAAAAACCCTTTGTGCATTAAATAACCTCACAATGGGGAATTGTGACTCTTTATGCTTCTTAAAGCTGAGTGAAGCCCCACAGACTTGGCTGTTCCTACTGGACAAGTGCAAGCAGGCTGAAAGGGCCTGTGGCAGTCTAAGGAGGGCCCTACCTCGCTGAGCACATCTAAGTCTGGAGGCAAATGGAGACCTCTGGGAGCCCAAGCATTTTTTATTTTATAAATTTCTTTTTTGGTTGGAAGGCTGGAGGCTTGCTGCAGGGAAGCTAGTTAGAAGGTTTACTCCAGGCTGTGGATAAAGATGCTAGAGCTAGGATGCAGTATGTGGGGGCTATGGGACCTAGGCTGGTGGGACTCTGATCAGGGAAGTCAATCAGTGCATCTGGACCCACTTGCCACTGCAGCCTTTGAAGTGTGCAAAGGAGGAGGCGGGGCCAGAGCAGCAGGGCTTCCTTGAGACTGCAGAGCCCAAAGAAGACTGCTGCTGCCACGTTCTCAGTGGCTCACCATCCTAAGGCTACAGTCCAGGCCTCTGGCAAAGGTTTGACCCCGGCAGGCTCCAGGAATCATGTGGAACAGTGTCCCTAGGCCCAGCAGGCATGCCACTGTCACACACATCATTCATGACATATCCACAGCAGATTAACACACTGAGCGCTAAGTGTCCACCAGGTGCTTTCAAGGCCCTAGAGTCTCTGTGTACTCCAGCAGCCCCATGAAGTGGCCTCTCTGCTCATTCTATTTTATAGATAAGGAAATAGAAACACAGAAAGGCTAAGAACCTGTCAAGATCACACAACTCACAAGTGGCCTGGGATCTGAAGTCAGAAGACTTGTGTCAGAGACCATCCTCTCAGGCACTACACTGGTCAGTAGAAACTGTGCTGGCTTCTATATTGTGATATTTACTGAGGGACCGGGGTCTTTGATGACGTCAGAGAGCTTGGAAGTAGGAAAGTTCAAATCCAGAACTGTCTGGTTCCCAGATGGCGCTCATGGGCTATTGAGATTTGAGTCAAGAAGACACAGAGAAAAACTCTGCCCAAGCAGTCTTGCAGCCCTCCCTTCTCTACTTTCACCAGGGTATACGAAAATGTTCAGATGTCAAACAAATGCCCAGTTTCTACTGACCAGTGTAGTGCCCATATTTGGCAAGCCAGCACAACATCTAATCACTGTTCTTTCTTCTGACTTTTGTGCTCATGCACACTGTGTCTTCCTTCCCTTCCTTTCTCCCTCCCTCCCCTTCTCTCTCTCTGGTTTTTCTTTTTTCTTTTTATTTATTTATTATGTATACAGTATTTATTCTGTCTGCTTATATGCCTGCAGGCCAGAAGAGGTCACCAGACTCCATTACAGATGGTTGTGAGCCACCATATGGTTGCTGGGAATTGAACTCAGGACCTTTGGAAGAGCAGGCAATGCTCTTAACCACTGAGCCATCTCTCCAGCCCTCTCTCTGGTTTTTTAAGACAGGGTTTCTCTGTGTGTCCTGGCTGTCCTTGAACTCACAGATAACAGTCTGCTTCCGCCTCTTGAGTGCTGGGATTAAAGGCATGTGTCACCACTACCCAGTTTGTGCATGCTTTTCATATGTAAAGTTTTTGTGTGACATCTCTGGGACACGCAGAGGGACTCATTAAGATGTCATTTTTAACACATAATCTCAATCAATTCAAATTATAAACATATGAAGAAAGAAGGGACGTGGACCTTCATTAAATACACATTTCTTCAAACTGAATAGTTACATTAAGGAGTAACACACCCATGATGAAATACAGCATAACTAAGGAAAATCAGGCCAGAAGAGAAGTGTGACTTAAAAAGTTCTTATGTCACACTACTGATGGAGGAAGGTCATTGCTTAAAAAAATAAAGAAACTGCTTGGCTGGCCCTCATAGGTTAAAACATAGGTGGGAGGAGTAAACAGAACAGAATGCTGGGTGGAAGAGGAAGTGAGCTCAGACTCGACAGCTCTCCTCTCGGGGGTAGATGCCTCTGAGAGATGCCATGCCCCGCTCCCAGGCAGACACACGCGACGAAGCTCCGACCCAGGATGGACGTAGGCTAGAATCTTCCCGGTAAGACCGGTGCTCACAGATTATTAGAGATGGGTTGATCGGGATATCAGAATTAGCCAGTAAGGGCTAGAGCTAAAGGGCCAAGCAGTGTTTAAATGAATACAATTTGTGTGTTGTTATTTCGGGGCATAAGCTAGCAGGCGGCTGGGGTGCTGGGGACGCAGCCCCGCCGCTCATATTACTACAACACTAC